ACAAAGCTGAAATTCCTCTGGAGACTTAACAAGACTTTTCTACCTGCAGACGCTGAAATTTAAAATAATGCTAAAAAAAAAAAAAATTCTGTTATACTCAGAACCACATGTCTTGGCAGCCAGGGAACAAACAACATGTCATTTCCAAAAGCTTTGCAGTGATTCCTTATCCCAGATTCCAGGAATGCTTTGTCACAACGAAGTTTATTCTGTTCCTTGGAAATATTAAATGCATTCCTACTATAATGAAACACCTTATAAACACCACGTGACAGAAACAGGGAGTTCGACAAAGCATTTCCTTCCAGCATTTAAGGCCCTGACATGAATTTTACTACCAAATAAGTAACCTCCTTGGTTACTTTGCTGGGAGCAGACCCGGATGGAAGCAGCATCAGCCCCGAGTGCTCCCGCCCACAGACTCCCACCTAATGCTCATCAGGCAGCTCCAAGCACTCCGAGTTTCCAAGATGTCATCTCGAACATCAAATTCAGTTCTAAGCACAACCCTGTACAACAGCAGTAATTCCTGCTGCTCACTGGAAAGTCATCCCTGTTTCAGACAACATTTTTGGAATGTGCTGCCCACAGTACACTGAATTTCCTAAGTTATGCCTGGAAATCAGGATGTTTTGTCCCAGCAAGTGGACGCTGCTCAATAAGACCCCTCCTGCAACAATGGGTTTGCACTCGCTATGACAGAGCTCCATTTAACCAGGGCTGTGGAATTCTGGGGGATATCTGCACTGCCTCTACTCTGCTGGCCTCTGGAAAAAGCCACTCCTCAACAAACATAGCTTTGTAACTGTGGAGGGGCCTGGGTTTGGGCTTATTTTAATGGCACAGCTTTTATCCGGTAAGAACCTGACCTTCACCATGTAAATGAGAAACCTGTATTTGCTGCAAATGCTCTGATGTTGCACATCCCCTGTTCTGCTCCAAGACACCTCATTTAAAGCCTTTAGTAAAAAGGAAAGGTATTTTGTAGCTAGACTAACTTTTGTTGGATCCAGTGATGTCACCACCTTCCAGATAAAGGCCAGGTTTGAAGCTCACTATGCTCATGATCACATGAGCAGACACAACACCCAGTCACATCCAGGATCCTGATCCCTGCTGTGGGCTGGGGAAAGGAAACACGAGTCCCAACTCCCTTTGTGCTGTCTCAGAGCTTCACCCCAGTGTTTTCAACACCTCACCATTACAAAGTCCAAAAAGTATGATTACGGTGACACCACACCGATGTCACTGGAATGCTCCAGAAAAAGGTGAGCAAAACGGGGAAATGAATCCAACCTGGAAATACTGGAATTGCACAAGCTTGCAACAAGGCAAGGAGAACACTGGGCCAAGCCAGGCTACAGAGGCACATCATGTGCTCTACTCAGAGCAGAAATAAATATGCCATTCTAAACATTTTCTGAGTTTATTTTCAGAAAAATCTAGAGCAAAGATGGAAATAGCAATCTGATTAAAAAAAAAAAAAGTGGCAGCAAATTATTTGGACAAAAGTTCAGAGAGGAAGAATATGGGCAAGACATCCAACTGTGGGAAAATGCCTTTGGGAGGAGGAAGCCTTTTGTTCCACACCACCTCTGTGTCTAGGTTTTTACAGTCCTTTGCTAAGTTATTCTGCCAGCGGCTGGAAAACCACCAGAAATCCGCCTGTTTACTCAGACAACTAAAATCCCAAATACCCTAGCAAATGGCTCTCTGCTCTACCTCATCAGCCACAGGACGGAAGGGATACTCTGAGCTGAGGTTTAAAAGTCTCAGTCAAGTGACAGCACAAGGTTAAGGGGTTATTCATACCCCTATTTTTGCATTCGGAGAGCAAGGGGAATTCTTGTTGAGCGACACATGGAGTCAAATCAGATTAGGAGCATAAGTGCCAAATACTGTGCAAAAATCACCATTAAACACCTGAAATCCTGCTTACGCTCAGGCAAGAAAGAGCATGTGTAAAATATTCTGAATATTTGAGACATTCTGAGACTTGCCTGGCTCACTGCAAGTCAGTGGTCTTAGGAGGCCAAGTGACAGAGCAGTTTGGTGCTGAGCCCACTCCACGCCACAGTGAGAGTCACAGGGTCTGTGACCAGGGAGTTTGCCACAAGTTGGCTCCTACTTCTGCAAAGTCCCCATCAGATCAAATCCCTGTCCTGAAAAATTCATGGTTTTCCTTATACAGGAATTGTATTTGGAAATGACTAAACGGAGGGGGAAATAAATTTAATTTGGTCCCTTCAACTCTAGCACTGTCAGCTAACAAACTGCCCAAATGGAGTGTTTCAATACAGAGTTACACCTGCCATGGCTCAGATCCCCCCTTCCAGATACTTCATTACTCCCTTTTCCTCTCGCTGCATCTGCAAAACAAAATCCCATTTATACCTTACTCCTGATCACAGAAAAATCACTGATTATAGAGCACAAGACCTCCAGCTGAAGTTTTCAGGCTCTGCATTACATCCTCCCTTGAACAAATAAGTTCAAAGCACTCAAAAACATAACCACAACCATCACCCTTTGCTACCAAGAACCCGACACAGACACGCAGGGACTGAAGCCATCCAGTACTTGACTGGAACAAGTGAATCACAGCTCTGCAACTGAGGATCCGCAGCAGGATCCCGAGCCAATGTGACTCCAGAAAAGGTTTACTGAACCAGAAAAGCAGCAGCAGCAATCCTGGTTGGGCGCCAAACACAAGGAAATAAACACAAGGGAGCCCTGGAAGATTTCACCAGCAGCCACACGAGTGGGGATGAGCAAATCCTGAAGCGCCACCTGAACTGGGGTCACTCAGCTCCAAAACAGCCCAGCGATCCGATGGCAGGAAGTTGGCATTTAAGGGCCATCCATAGCAACTGTTTTCCTACCCTCTTCTGATGTATTCCAGGGTTTAAGTTGATTTTGGCTCCTGAGTTTCCCCACGACATTCTGAACAGACTGGCTTTGTGCCCCCTGCTCTGCCAAACCAGGAGGAAGCACTGCAAAGGCAGCACCAGGAGAGCCTGTGGGGGCAGATCTGCAGGGTCAGGCCTCCCACGGCCACCCCGGGACAGGAGCAAGGGATCATTACCTCAATCAGCTTCTCTCCACTAGTTCTGCAACACGGGCGTCAAGCACACACACACATCAAACAGTTTAAGGGCAGTGTAAGAGGGGGGAAACAACTCCCTCAGATCAGGAATCAGGACCTTGTCTAAGAAATTAGTTTGTAAAGAGCAGGCAGGTGAGTCCACCAGCTGGGGCTGGAAAATGCACAAGCAGGAACATACACAACTCCTCACTGGCAGCAACTTTTCCACCACTTATTTTATGCAAAGATAAGGAATAAATATGGCAGAATCTGTTCAATACAATCAGTATGGGCCATGATTTTCACAGTCTTAGTCATTAAAGACAGACACACCATTAATGGCTCTTTCAAAGAGAAAAAAACCTGAAGTTCCCAACTGTTTGCATGTCTGCTTGCCAACTGCTCCCCTCCCTGTACTAGGATCAATAACTGGGAGCAAAGAAACAACCCTGCTTAACCATGAGATCTTCTTTAACTGCAGGGTAATCAGCTAATCCGGGCAGACTCCTTTATTCAGCCTTACATGGGCAGCACTATCATTAAAGTTATAAACTTTAATTTGACTCAAGGAATGCCATTTACTAATTTAGCACGCAAATGCTTTTACAGTTGTTTGCATCGAGCTCCATATAAGCTACAGGGGATTTATAGCACACGAAGCAACATTTCAGAGCTGCTGTTACGGCCACTGCAGAGCACAGGACAGTGGGGGGGAAAGCATTCACTGAGGGAATGCTTTTTCGTGTTGAAAGGGAGTTACCAATACACACAACCAGCAAAACAACAGCTTTCTGGGCACTGGATCCCTCAATATTTAACATCCACAGATTTCTCACATTATTCCTGTTGGCATGTAGGAGAGTGGCATCTCCTATTTACTCTGAATATTGACTAAATGGGAACAAAACTCGTCACCTACAGAAAAGTCAACGGCATCAGGAACTTGGTGAGCTGGAGCCAAACCTTGCCATGAGCATTTAGAAAGGAATGCCAGATTGCTTCAGTGCCTTGAATTTTTTCCCCAAAAGCTCGGGAGCCAACAGATAAGACTTAGATACTTTGATCTAAAGAGGGTAAATGTTATTTCGAACTCTAGTTCACTTTTAAAGCGACACGCTTAAAAAGTGGGGGTAAAAAAAGTTACGGTTGTGAAGGGATTGCTCGTATCCCTCCTGGTCTGTGCTGAAAATAAACACGACAAGGTTCAACCCCTGTGTGTAGCAGGGGGGAAGGGAAACGGCAACAAAACCAGAGCGGTGCCTCTCCTGGAATTCCAGGACTTGCCATCGACTCCGCCGCTTACCGAAGGAGCTGAAGGAGGTGAAGCCCCCAGACAGCGTGAGGATGGAGTGGAAGAAAGGCAAAACCACAGATCACGGCCCCTGGCTCGCAACCGCACAAAGAAAGAGGAGTCCTTTTAGTGCCAAGGGCCTCGTTCCCGATGCTTCCACGGCAGGAAGCGAGATCCTGGCCGGCCCCGAGGGGCCTCCCGGGGGAAAGGGGTGACGAAGAGCCTCCTCCGCCCCAGGAGGTGCTGGGGAATCCCCCCTCATCCAGGAGGGGATGGGGGAACACCCCCTCCACCCCGGGGGAGCGCGGAGGAGCGCCCCCTCCAACCCCGGGGGGTGCCCAAGAGACCTCCTCGCCTCCACGGGGTGCCCGGGAAGCACCCTCACCTCAGGAGGCGACGAGGGGCCCTCCCCTCACCCTGGGGGGTTCAGAGGAGGAGACCTCCCTGCAACCCCAGGGAGGGCCGAGGAGCCCCCCCCTCACCCAGGGGTCCCTCGGAGGGTGTGCGGGGCCCTGTCCCGCGGGCGGGCCGGGCCCGGTGCCCCGAGAGGCCGTTGGCCCGTCCCGCCGCCCCCCCGCCCCTTCCCCGGTGCGTCCCCCCCCATCCCGGTGTCGGGGGCCGCACCTGGATGACCTCGTTGACCTCGCGGATGCACTCCACCATGTGCTGCAGGATCTGCTCGGCCGTCAGCACCTCGTAGCGATAATCCTCCTCCTGCTCGGGGCCGCCGCCGGGGCCCGGCCCGCCGCCCAGGCCGCCGCCACCGCCGCCGCCGCCGGGGCCCAGCCCGCCCGTCTCGCCGCCCAACAGCCCGTCGCGCTCCCCGCCGACGCGCAGCCCGGGCTCCACCAGCTCCACCTCGCCCAGGTCCAGGTTATCGTCGGGCTCGTCCTCCTCCTCGTCCTCCTCGTCCTCCTCCGCGCCGCTGTCCTCGCTGCACTCCTCGTCCTCGTCGAACTCGTAGTTGTACCCCTCGTCCGAGTCCATGGCGAGGCGCTGAGGGAGCGGCGGCGGCTCCCGCGGCCTCCCCGCGCCCGGCCCCGCCGCCGCCGCCGTTGGCCCCGGCCCGGCCCGGCCCCGCCGCGCCTCAACCGCCGCCAACAAAGGGCCGCGGCCGCCGCGCTCCGTCACCGCGCGCCCCTCGCGTCACCGCCGCCCGCCCGCGCCTGCGCGCCCGTCGCCATCTCACCCCGCCCAGCGCCGCCGCCATCTTGGGGGCGCGACACGCCCCCCCGCGCCCCTCCCCCCGCCTCAGCCCGCCGCCGCCATGTTGAGTGTGGCGCGGCGCCATGCTGGGTGCGGCGCCTGGGGGGCGGGGGGGCACGGAACCGGAGAGTCACAGAATCGCTTGGGTTGGAAAAGGCCTCTGAGATCATCCAGTCCAACCTATGACCGATCGGTACCCATTACTCTTTGTCCTACCCCTATAGTTCCTGACAAAATTGGGTGCAGCTGGGAGTGGCAGGTTTGGGGGCAGGGTTACCAGCTTCTCTCCACTGCCCACCCGGTCTGGGCTCCATGGGGTGACAGGACATGAGGTGGAGCCAGGGCGCAGAGCTGTCTTGAGGTGTCCTGTGGGGTCAAGTGTCGAGAAGACTCCCGGGGCCACCACAAAACTGAGTTGTGTGGGTCTGTGGCAAGCAACTTGTGAGGGGAATGTAAAGGAAATGCAAGGGCAATATGAGGGACACAGGAGGGAACACAGGTTGCACTGCCTCAAAATCAGAATAAAATTGCACTGAGATGTCCAGGCAGAAATTCTCAGTCATTCCACGAGATAAACACATGCCCACCACCCTGGAGGGACCTTGATTGTGCTGGGTGGCATCTCCGAGCTCCAGCATTGCTTTCTGGTCAGCAGAGGTGGTAGTACCCAGGTCTTCAGTGATGCCAGCCTTGATTCCCTTTATTCTCTGTTAATTTGACATTTTGCAGGGGGCAGAACATGCACGAGTGTTTTCATCACCAGACCAGGGACTAACTTTTTTCCCTCCTGACACTGACAAGTGCCCTGGACAGGTCAGGGATGCAGGGCCAGTACTGTTCCCAGGTGGTCTCATCCCTGCCAGAGCCTCTCACTTGGACATGGAGCTGCTGGCAAAGGGCAGGATGGACACCAGAGTGCTGCAGAGGCTGAGCCCTTTGCCTCAGCTTTCCCTGCTCCAGCATCAGCCGTGCTCAGCCTAGTACAGGGAGTCTCGCCGGGCTCATTGTCTGCAGCCATTTGGGGAGTGCACGGAACTCTGGTTGGCTTGGAAACAAGGCTGAAGCCTGGCCCAGAGCAGAGCCAGCTGCTACCAACCCTCCACTGCTCTTCACTGTGGATGCCAGAGGCCAGCACAGCCCCAGGAAGGCTCCAGGGCCACCATCTCCCGCCAGTGCTCACCCTCCACTTCCTCATGCCCCAGGAAATTGTTTCTTCATGGGGTGAAGTGGGGCCGTTCAGATGTGGTGACATTATTCACCCGCTCTGCCCGGATGAAGATGAGACTCAGCAGGGCACTATGTGGTGTAGGTGTGACAAATTTCATCAGCTGTTTGGGACAAGAGTCATCAAAGATGACCGGATGACAGAATCCTGCTTCCTGCTCCTGTCTTGATACAAATCCCTTGTGAAACAGGAAGAAAATTAGAAGCCACATCCCAAGGAATGTTTATTTCCTGCTGGAGCACAGGAAGCATAATGATGGCTGCAGCAACAGGATTTGTGCTCAGGGTGATGCAGGCGGGTGCCCTTGGGAGTCCAGGGAGATGAAATGTCCAGTGTCCTGGGTAGATGACCCCAGAAACCTCAGCAGGTACCAGGCTGCATCTTCAGACAGACAAGGAGATCCGAATGTGTGCATCTGTGGTGCCTGAGCTCTGCCCGGGTCAGGAGCACACAGGGACATTGCCTCATGCCACGCTACCTAGTCAATAAAGCCAGTTCCCTAATTACCCTACTTATTTGGAATTGCAAAGGCCAGGGCATTAGTCATCCTGCCCTACATAAATCTAAGTATCTCTGGCTTCGTTCAGCTCCAGACGCACCAGCTGGACATCTGCCAGGCTGCTCCCACCTCACACGTCAAGCTGCGGAGGTTCAGGTGGCTGCCCCACGTCCTTCCCTGTGCTTCACCCCCGAGGGGAGCTGTGTGTCACCCCCTGAGACCCTGTGCTAGCACTGTCCTGCCCAGCTGGTGACATGCCCAGCTCCTGCCCAACATGGCAAAAGGCACAAGCCATTTTGGCTGAACGTCTGCCCCGTGGGACCCCAAGAAAGGCACTGACCAGACAGTGGGGTTTGGCTTTAGACACAAAAATCCTTGGCCGAGGTGACCTCCCCGGCAGCGTGTTTGGGAAGCAGTTGCTCCTGGGAGCAGGCCCCGTCCATCCCCCGGTGTCCCGAGGACTCCCCGCCGCCCTCTCCCGGCCCCGGCCGAGGCTGCTGAGTTCAGCCTGGGGCGCTGGGTGGACCCGGCCAGAGGAGCTGCTCTGGAGCCAGGCTGGGAGAGCTGGGGGTGTTCAGCTGGAGAAGAGAAGGTTCCAGGGAGACCTTAAAGCCCGTTCCAGTGCCTAAAGGGGCTCCAGGAGAGCTGGAGAGGGACCTGGGACAAGGGCCTGGAGGGACAGGCCAAGGGGGAATGGCTTCCCACTGCCAGAGGGCAGGGTTAGGTGGGACATTGGGAAGGAATTGTTGGCTGGGAGGGTGGGGAGGCCCTGGCACAGGTTGCCCAGAGAAGCTGTGGCTGCCCCATCCCTGGAAATGTTGAAGGCCAGGTTGGATGGGGCTTGGAGCAACCTGGTCCAGTGGAAGGTGTCCCTGCCTGTGGCAGGGGGCAGAACTGGCTAGGTTTTAAGGTCCCTTCCAACCCAAACCATTCTGTGATTCTATAATGGATCTATTATCCCAGTAATTAACATTTATAAATAGTGATGGGATCTTCCCAATGACATCCCACAGACATAGAAAACCAGTTCCCCTACTACGGTCCCAGCCTTCTCTTTTCCACTGCAAAACAGGGATCAGCACTCTGCAGCAATAGTTACACTAATACTTTTTAAAAATACTCTTGGTATGAAATTTTGGTCATGAATTTTGCAAAAGATCGTTGTTTATTAAAAAGTTTTCAACCCAGGAGAAAGGAAATCCAGGAGCTTTCTCAGTGTCTTGGATTTGATTTTAGGTGTCTGTACACTCATTAACAACAGTCACATATGGGGCCCTGGGCAGTAGTTCCTTGTAGATGGTTGGCAAAAGGTACCTGAGAAAAGCAGGGCTGCTGCCTTCAGCTTATTCCGAGGGGATCTGCATTGCCTCTGGGGATTTTAGGACTCCAGCTACTGAGGAAAGCTGAGAACCCCTCCTCTGCCCACTCTGAGAAATGATTTAGATCTCCATAGACACCTGGCGCGCTTTCATTTTATTCTTGCAAGAGCTTAATTACCCAAGTGATTCTGGTAACTGTTAACACTGAAGCTGACAAGAATAAAATATTGCCTTGCAATCACCTTGCTCTGTGAAGTTAGACACACACTTACGGGATTTATGGGAGCAGTGCCTCTGGGCATGAGGAGTTTGTCACCATGCACCCACGGGCTCTGATTGATTGCAGCTCAGCCCCACAGCCGGGACTGGGAGCAGCCAGGGACAGCAGCCACACGTTCCCAGCCTCCGCAAGACATCGCAGCGTCTCCCTGTGACAAGCCCTGACTTGTGATACCAAAATTCTGCAAAAATGCCGGTGCCCCACACCACAGTCCACCCATGGATTCGGGGTGAACCTCCCATCCCATCCAGCATCCCCCCTGCCCCACCACTCCTTGAGCCAGGTGGGATCTTCAGAAAAAGCCCTTCTCCTTCGTCACCAGAGACATGTGGACAGGGAGAAAGGAAATCCAGGAGCTTTCTCAGTGTCTTGGATTTGATTTTGGGTGTCTGCATGCTCATTAGCAACCTCAACCAGCAGTGTGGGCTGAGCTGCCCCTTGGCTCACCACCCCAACGCTGTGCGAGCTGGAGATAATCCAGAGGAAAAAAGGCTTTGCGAATAAATAGCAATAATGCAAACACCACCGGGCTGAGCTCAAGCCAGGACCCCAAATCCTCCACACTGATTAACACATCTCACCTCAAGCTTTTTGCCTTAAACTCCACTCTCAAACTCATGATTGTCAAAATACTTCTTGCTCCTCCCTGCTCTCTCCGAGTCTCCCAGGCCCTGCTCCCCTTACGTATGCTCTCCCAGGCAAAGAGGTCCCTTCTGTTCAGCCCCATCTGTGCTGAGAAACTCAATCACCACGTGCATCTGCTAAACCATTCGATGGCAGCATCGATACACAGTGGTCAAGGTGGGAATGTAGGGATATGGAAACGAGTCGTCCTGTCCTTTGAAAAGTGCCAGGATTTGTGCTTGTGGCTCCAAAGCAGCCTGCCATACACCAGCCTGCTTCAGCCCCCCAGAGCATGGAGCTTCCTCACAGGCTGAGCTGCCAGAGCTGCTGAAAGTGCCCTGGGTGTGGATTTAAGGGCATCTCATGTTTAGGATCTTCGTTGTGCACATGCTAAAGCTCCATCAAATGTCTCTGCAGGTTTCTGCTGGCTGTTTCAATGTGAGCACTGCTCTGCTTGATGAAACAGGCACAGGTGGCTCCCTGTCAGCATCTGTGGGACACCATGCCAAGCAAAATCATCCCTGAAATAAAGAGATGTGCAATGCGAGGGTCCACACCTGCAAAAACACAGCACATGCTGACCATACTCCCACCAGACCACCACCTGAAGTAAGGACACTTCAACCCTCCCACCCTCAGGGCTGCAATCCAAATCTCATCATTATTTCACCACGGATGAAAAGGAAGTTAAACAAGAAAATGGAGAGAGTAAGCTTGCCCAGAAAGCTTCTGAGATGTCAAAGTTCAAGTCACAGGTCTACAGGCAGATGCAGGTACTTCCAAGAGATGATCTGTTTTCCAAAGCCCTCTTCCAGCCACACCACCAGGAGGTCCCTTGAGCTGGGAGTTGCTTCATTCAGGAGCGAGTGTGCCTAGACAGCATTGACTCAAAGAGCAGAGCAAACAGAAAACTCATGCCCTGTGAAGGTGTTCATGAATGGCTTTCTCTGTTCCTCATTCACCAGCTCAGATCCTTCTCACC